TCATTTTGTATTCACATGTTTCATAGTTAAAATTGATGCTGTTAGCCATGTATCTGTGTTTTGGGTGGCAGGGTGGAGAGGGGGGAATAGCAACTAAGTAGACTAACCTGTAGCCAATATGCATTTACTGGATTAAGGAAAGCTATGGGGGATTTTTTTCAGGCAGCTAGAGAGTGTTTCAGAACATGAAAACCAGTATTGTAAATCCCTGAATAGAAATAATTCATTCATTTATCAAATTTTCATTGCTATTAACAGACACTCAATAATCTTTGCATGAGTAAATGAATGTATCAGTGAATGTATGGATAAAGAACAAGTAACACTTTCTGGATTGTGAACAGTAAAGCTTGGTTCATTCTTTAGGGTGAAATAGGTCCCTTGAGCAGGCAGAAAACCTGGAGTCTTGGCACAAAAATGGCCACGTTTTCTTGGAAGTTGAACCAGGTCGACCTGCTGGTCTTGTAGTTTTTCAACAGGCTGCAACTAGAGTTCAAGGTCTAAGGCTGCTCCCCTGTGTACCCTTGGTGGGGTTCTTCTGCTTTTCCTGCTTAAGAAGGTCTCACTGTAGCTCACCAATAGAGTCTGTTGGGATGCTCTGCTGCCATCCACACAGTGCCTGTCCAGGGGATCTCTCCTAAGCTATCTTGGGTATTAAATGGCAGGACCACTACCTAAAAATGCAAACCAATTTCCCATGCTGAAACATAGGTTACTTTCCAATAATTTTTAGATGATGACTCACACAAATTATCTATTAGGCCCTGTAGGGGAGAGGGATGCTGGTTTCATTGTCTATGACAGGATCAAGAATCATAATCCTGTGTGATGTAGGCCTCTGAGTTTTGCAGCTGTTTAGCGGATCTCTTGATGCTGCTGCTATCAGTCTGCCAGAGCCCCTACCAGACTGAGCTTCCTTCTTCCTTCAGGCCTCAGTCTCCTAAACTATCTGTATATCAATAAAAAGTAAACTTTAGCTGAGAGTGACTGCAGCCTCTTCAGGCTTTGCAATGTGCCCAGCATCATCATTGACAAGACTCATGTGCACTTTTTAAACACCTCCCCTCCCTCCTCCTCCTCTTCTTCCTCTTCCTCCTCCCCTTCTCCTTCTCCTCCTCCTCCTCCTTCTTCCTCTTCCTCTTCCGCTTCCTCTTCCTCTTCCGCTTCCACTTCTGCTTCTGCTTCTTCTTCTTCTTCTTCCTCCCCTTCACCCCCCGCAAGCTGGAGTGCAGTGCTATGATCTGAGCTCACTGCAACCTCCACCTTCTGGGTTCAAGCGATCATTCTGCCTCAGCCTTCTAAGTTGTTGGGATTACGGGTGCCCACCACCACACCCAGCTAATTTTCATATTTTTAGTAGTGACAGGGTTTCACCATGTTGGCCAGGCTGGTATACCACCATTTCTCTATATCCAATCTCAGATGAAGTATCAATGCTTGGGAAAACTGAAAGCAGAACACCTGAACTTCTCTTCCATTTACTTACTATACTGAGTAAGTCACACAGATTCATTTCATTACACTGATCTGTGAAATCTATATGTAAAATCATCTATAAAATCAACCATTAGTTCCTACCTCCATGAATTAGGAGAATTAAATGGAAACAGGTGAATAAGAATTTCTTATAAAATTATAAGAAGCTGTGAAAGAGTCAGGTATTATTATTTTTGTTATGTCAGTTACTACTGAAGAAATTCATCTATGTATTAATAGAATGACTAATTGAGTGCTTGAAGTATAGTGGGTGCTTATCAATGTGAATTTCCTTCACTAGTCACTTGAACTTTTGTACGTGTTCTTAGTTGATTGTAGTAGTTCTCAACTTTGGCCACACATTAGCACCACATAAGGAGTTTTAAAAAATACTGATTCCTGGGTCTCATCCCCACAGGTGCTGGTTTAATTGGTCATTGGGTAAAGGCTGATGTCCAGATGCTGCAATTTTTAAAAACTCTCTGAGTGCTGTTAAGATACAGCCAAGTTTGAAGGCTGCTCGAACCTTGATGCTTAAAATGTGAACCCCAAGGTTGAAAGCAGCCCAGCTACTTGGGAGGCTGAAACTAGAGGACTGCTTGAGGCCAGGAGTTTGAGTCTGCAGTGTGTTATGATTGTGCCTGTGAGTAGATACTGCACTCCCGCTTGAGCAACATAGTGAGACCTCATCTGAATAAAAAGGCGGACCCCAGACCAGTAGCAAATGGTATCACTTGGACCATCTTAAAAATGAAGAATCTCAGGCTCCATCCCAGAATCAAACTTAACACTTAAATGAGATCCCTGTGTGCTTTGTAGACACGTTAAAGTTTTCAAAGCACTGCGACAGTCTATTGGGTTGGGAAAATTTTCCAGATGACCAGAATCATGTTGTTACCTGTTTGACCTTTGGACTATTCACTCTTCAGATGGTGCTGGAACTGTCAGTATAGCTCTGATTTGGAGAGCTGCTGGGATGTTAAGTTGGTTCTAGGGGTGCAGGGATTCATATCTGCTTTGGGACTCAGCCAGGCCTCCCAGGGTTCTCCCACTGATCCATCACTCACACAGTCAGTAACTAATCCTTTGGACCTCCTTAAAAGGAAATGATCTGGGACTTGAGGAGTCTTACCCTATTTGAGATCTTTCTAGTTGAATTGCCTGGCTTTTTAAGACCACTCAGAAGTTGGCCTTCTAACTATCCTTGGGTCAGGGTTCAGAGTTGACCTTCAGAAAGAGAAGACATGCATCTATTTGGTTGCTGTGGCACATTAGCCCTTTCCCCAAAAGAAATGACAAATCTAAGAACCCTGAAGGTAGATGGAAGTGGGGTATTAAGATGTTATGATGTTTTATGGGAAACCATGGGAAAATTTCTCAGAGAAAACTGGTGAGTATTTTGTAATATGAAACTAAGTCTGGGGAAAGCCTAAATAGAAATATTTGCTCTTTCATTTATTCATGAAATATTCATCTTACTTGCTGTCTAAGTCTGCTTAGTGTTGCTATAACAGAATACCTGAGGCTAGATCATCTATAAAAAGAGGTTTACTTGGCTCATGATTCTAGTGGCTGGAAAGTTCAAGATTGGCAGCTGCATCTGGTGAAGGCCTTATGCTGCTTCAACTTATGGCAGAAAGCAGAAAGCAATAGATGTTATAAGAAAGGAATCATGTTATGAGAGAGAAAGGATGGCAGAGAAACCAAGGAAGCCAGACCCTTTTAAACAACCTGTTTCCTCAGAAACTAATTTGTTCTCATTAAAACTCACTTACCCTTGAATGAGTGCGTTAATCTATTCATGAGGGGCCCACCCACATAACCCAAACACCTCTCACTAGACCCTACTGCTGAACACTACCATATTGGGAATAAAATTTCAATATGAGTTTTGATGGGGACAAACCACATCCAAATCATAGCACTTACAAAGATGCAGATGGAATGGTCTAGGGAAATGTTCCTCTTTTATTGATGATAAGAACTCACTTCCTTTAGGTCTATGTTTAAATGTCACCTTATCAAAGAAGTTATCTCCCTGACAGCCTTTGTAAATCACACTTTCCATGCATTCATTTTACCTCCTCTACCCTCCTCTATGCTTTTTCTACATGGTACTTGGCTGACCTATTGCACATTGTCTGACACCTCTTCTTTTAGTACATTTGTGTTGCTATGAAAGAATACCTGAGGCTAGGTCATTTATAAAGAATAAAAGGTTTATTTGACTCACAATTCTGATGTCTGAAAAAGTTGAAGATTGGGTGTCTGTATCTGGCTAGGGCCACAGGCTGCTTCCGCTCATGGCAGAAGGTGAAGAGGAGCTGGTGTGTGCAGATACCACACAGCAGCAGAGGAAGCAAGAGAGACAGAAACAGAGAGAGAGAGAGAGAGAGAGAGAGAGAAAGAGAGAGAAAGAGAAGATGCAAGGCTGTTTTTAACAACCAGCTCTCAGGGAACTCTAGCAGGAACTAATAGAGTAAGAACTCACTCAGTCACTGCCCCACCCACGGAGGACATTAATCTATTCAAAAGGTGTTCACCTCCATGACCCCAAGACCTCCCATTAGGCCTCAACTCCAACATTGAGGACCAAATTTTAGCATGAGATTTGGAGGGAAAAACATCCAAACTACAGCACCCACTATAGAATGTGACATTCACAAAGGCAAGGACTTTGTTCTACTCATTGCTATACCCCAACACCTAAATCAGTGCCTGACTCAGTAGGTATTCAACAGTGTTTGTCGAATGAATGTTGAATGAAGAGAAGGGGAAGAAGGAGAAGGGAAAAGCACATATTATGAACTTACCATAAACCATGCCAATACGGGGCTTTACATATGTAATTTCATGTAATTCTTACAACATATTCTTATGTTACAGGCAGAGAAATGAGCCAGAGAGCTAAGTAAAAATTGCCTAAAGTCACAAAGCTATAAAACATTAGATCATGAAGCAGGGTTTGAACCCAAACCTATTTGGTTTCAAATGACATGCTCCTTCCAGTATGCCAAGGAGCAGCTGAAAGGGATTGCTTCATGTTTGTAAGCTGTGCCAACTTACGAAGGCACAGATGTCTTTAGTTTGTACTCTGGATTTTCACTTACACTTGAGCTGCATTAAATTGTACAACTAGACTATGTGTTGAACCTAAATGACTAGTGTGAGCCAATGGGCTGTTGCTTGGCACTTGGAATTTAATAAATGTTAGCTGGATGGATGGCTGGAGAGGGGAAGAAGGAAAATGTCAAGAATTAGAAATAAATTGCTTATACTGGAAATATACTTCTCCTTGATCTCTTTTTAAATTAAGTTAAATTTTTTAAAGTATTGAGTAGAATTGTAAAGAGGTTGAATTTGCCAGATTCAGGAACCTGCTTGTTACCCTTGCTTAATCCCACCAAAATATGGGTAAAATTGATTTTTTTTTAAACCATGGGACTCTCAGCCCAAAATATATATACACATGGGCAGAAACCTCCAAGCTTTATAAGGCTGACCCTTGTTCTAAACCTATTTAGCGCAGGCAAATATCCCAGTGGTTGCATTTCCAAACCCCAAGAGGGGAAGGCAAAATGAAGTTGCTGGAGTTGAGTGAATCTGCAGATGGAGCCGCGTGGAAACACTGGGCAGCGAATAGCAACACACACAGGATTCAGGTATTTTTTCCAACTGTTCACTGCCCGATAATGGCAATCTCCAAATTCACACCTGCTCCACTCTGAAAAATTAGATGAGGTCAGGCTTATTTTGGTTTGGCTTGGAGAACGAAGCCTCACATAGAGCCCATACTCTCTCAGGAGGTGCTCACTTTTAAATTGCAGTTCTCTGTGAAGCCCGAGTGCTGCTGAATTCTGTGTGGAGGGTTGCTGGGCACATATCGGTAATACAGGGGATCCTTGGAGTGAGATGGTAAAAGCACAGAGATGCTAGTTGTAAAAGCATGGATTGAGTTGATTACAGTTAAATATTTCCTTCCACCCATGGAATTATAAGAAAATAGAGGTTTCATGAACTGGAAAATATACTGTTGATTCAGAAGTTTTTAGACCATTGGAACCTTCTCTCATTACTCCTATCTCCAAAGCCCCCGGTATTGCACAAGCCCAAACAGGACACCTATTCATCACATTCCTGAGGTAGACTTCCTCCCAAAGGTATAAGTTTTTATTTTTTATTATTTATTTATTTATTTTGAGATGGAGTCTCGCTCTGTCACCCAGGCTCCCAGGCTGGAGTGCAGTGGCATGATCTTGGCTCACTGCAACCTCTGCCCCCCGGAGTCAAGCGATTCTTCTGCCTCAGCCTCACGAGTAGCTGAGACTACAGGCATGTGCCACCATGCCCAGCTAATTTTTGTATTTTAGTAGATATGGGGTTTCGTCATGTTGGCTGTGCTGGTCTCGAACTCCTGACCTCAGGTGATCTGCCTGCCTCAGCCTCCCAAAGTGCTGGAATTACAGGCACGTGCCACCATGCCCGGCCCCCAAAGTTATACATTTTAAAATGGGGGCATGAGATACCATGAAAGTCACCACCGCAGTTATATTATAAGGGCTATTATGATATAAGGCAGTAAAATTAAAAGTAAGAAAATCTGATTCCAAATCATAAGATTTTTCTTTACTCAGTAGCCCTACTCTGTGGCAGTTTGAGCTTTACAGGTTGGTGCAGAATGTTTTTGCATAATTGTCAGCTTAGCTTTAGTGCGCATTCAAAATGACTTGTTCCACCTAGAAAGCCAGCCCCCTGAAGAACTGAGCCTGTTCAAGGAAGCCTCTAAGGCTTCCCTTTTTACAAACTGGATGTGGTAGGCCAGAATTATCCAGCTAAGCTGTTTCTGTTTGGACAGCCATGAAGGAAAGGGGCCAGTGCAGCATCTTGCAATGTGATGGGCTGGGCAGGCCAGAGCCGCTTCTGTGTGCCCAGGGTGCCAGTTCCAGGAGCTCCCACCTGCTGTCCAGGTGCCCCAAGCCAGACAGGCCTCTCCTCACCATCTGCCGTGAGCTGGGTGGCCAGGAGACCTAACAAGTACTCCCTCACATGATCACCTGCTTCTACCTACACAGCGCACACAATTACTCTGGCCCTGGATATCTAACTGTTAGCCAGACCACACACCTCTGATTTATGCAGGGAGTGAAGCCTCCTCCAGACACAGAAGTAGTGAATGCAACACATAAATGACTACTGGCAGTAGCACCTAGCAGTGTGAGATGCACAGGCTTTGGAGTCAGAGCCAGCTGGGATTGAGTCCTTGCACTAGCTGTGTGACTGTAGGCGGGTCACTTAGCTCCACAAGGCTGAGTGCTTCCTTTATAAAATCTAAGCCAGAGGCCAGGCAGGGTGGCTCACGCCTGTAATCACAGCACTTTGGGAGGCCGAGGTGGGCGGATCAAGAAGTCAGGAGATTGAGGTCATCCTGGCTAACGCAGTGAAACCCCGTCTCCACTAAAAATACAAAAAAATTAGCCGGGTGTGGTGGCGGGCACCTGTAGTCCCAGCTACTCGGGAGGCTGAGGCAGGAGAATGGCGTGAACCCGGGAGGCGGAGCTTGCAGTGAGCAGAGATCGCGCCACTGCACTCCGGCCTGGGCAACAGAGCGAGACTCCATCTCAAAACAAAAAACAAAACAAGAAAAATCTAAGCCACAGTACCCTCCTCGTAGGGGTTTTAAGAAGACAAAACAGGTAATATGTGTAAAGTGATGGGCACATGCTTGGTGCTTAGTAATGGGCTGTTCCTGAAATCGTTGTGTATGTGAAAGCACATTGAAAACTGCCATTCTTGGGAAAACACAAGTTAGTTTTCCATGGCATTTGCTGTCATTAGCAGATGCTATCAAAGTAAACACTAGTCAGACATTTCAGAAAGTTCAGCCAAGCAGGAGCAGGTTCCTCTTCTGTTTTTCAATGTGTGCTGTGGAAGCAATAAGTCAAAGATCTCTTCATTCAATCATTAGTTTACATTTATGAGGCCTCTCCATGAGAGGAAGCACCCCATCCGCTTTTTAAAATGAGGTGTATCGACCTTCACTGAAGGACAGTTTAAAAGGGGATGATCTCTCTGGCCCCAGAAAGCACTGAGTATCATGTGGAACTTTTTTCCAAGGAGAGTTGGAGGGAGGGGCTACCATAGGAGGTCAGGGCCTAGGCTTCCAGACTGCATTTTCACAGGCACTGGGGCACAGAATTCTGTTGAGAAAAATTGGAAAAGGGCATGGCCTTGCCCCACATCAGTCAAATTCACTCTTTAAAAATTCCATTGCAATAATGTTTTTAGATAAAACAAAACAAACCTGGCCTTCAGGGACAGTCTCCCTCAGTCTGTCAGTTTGGACATGGCAAAATGCTCCACAATAAAAGGCTGTGATTTTGTGTTAGAGACTGGTAGGGCCACGGCTCTCAATGTGTGGGCTCGAGACCGGCAGCCTCAGCAGCCCCTGGGACCCGGGCAGAAATGCAAATTCTTGTGTCCCCTCCCAGACCTGCTGAATCAGAAACTCTGGGGTGGGCCCAGCAATCTCTTTTTACTGGCTGCCCCTCCAGGGAATGCTGATGTACACCCAGGTTCTAAAACCACTGACTTAGTGTAGTGGGGTTTGCCCTGTAATTAATTGGTAGGGAACTTTCACTATGTCCTTGTATACATGTTACTCCTGTGAGATTGGATCTCAGTTTTTTAGATAAGGAAATTGAAGATCAGTTAAGTTGTGACTTGCCCAGAGTCTCACAGCTGGTAAGTTGCAAAGCCAGGATTTGGGCCCAGGTCCCTTGGAGGCCCAGGTATAGGAACAAAATGTAATTGATGAAAGTTTGGGCTCTGGAGACAGAGTGTCAGGGTTGAAATCCTAGCTGGGTCGCTTAAGCGCTGCGTGTCCCCAGGCAAGTTGGTTAACCACTCTGTGCCTCTGTTTTCTCATCTGCAAGCCTCTGCCTCATGAGGGTTTTGTAGAGATTCAATAAGATAATTCTTGTAAGGCAGGTGGAGCAATAGCTGGCATATAGTAAACACCCAGTAAGTGCTATTTTTTTTTTATATTGTTGTTGTTACATAGCCTCTCAGAATTGTGGGGTGGAAAAAATACATAGCATCTTCCCTTGGTCTTTTCCTTGGCATTGACCAACGTGATAGTCCAAAATGCCAATAAAAACAATCAACAGCCTCCCTCTCCCCGAAGGCTCTTTCAGAGGCCACCTATCCCAGCCCTAAAGAGGCCCCCGATACTCGCTTGAATCCCACAGAATAGCTGTCCCTTCATTGAGCCAGCCTCCTTCGTGAACACCATCACATGCCAGCTGCCCAGCTATACATAGCTCAGGCCTACTTTGAGGGCGGCAGAAAGTGACAGGAGATTACCGGAGAGAAACGTCAGCTCTCTGGTTTCAGGGGAGGACACACAGTTGTTGAATTGCTTGACATGTTGCCAGATGGCATGAGGGACAGTGGGTATGAACAGCCGTGTGGCTCTTGGCTTACATGAAGAGAGCAGGGTTACAGCCAGGGCGTTTTTAATGACTGGCTTGAGGGACATTCACTTGGAGCAGAGATCTGTGACATTTTCCCCGAGGCTCAACTTCTTTTTCAGATTCTTGGCCCTGCAGAAAGTAATCTCCACCTACCTCCCTTCAACAAGTAATCACCTCCTTTTTCTTTATGACCCGCCACCTCCCCACCCTCCCTCTGACTGTGTAGTAAATTAGTCTTTCTCCTCTACAAAGACACTTCTTGGGCAATGGTATAAATGTGACTTTCTTCCTGTCTTTCCCTGGATTCGAGCTGGTAAGTCCTATGAAGAGACTGCATTGGGTGGGGTCTTTTTGGAGGTATTGGATGTGCTGCCCTGGGAGCCCCAGGGGCAGTCACGCAGCACAGGGTGTCCCTCTCGCTTCTGTGTGACTCCTTAATTAGGCGAACCACACCTGCTGTAACATATCCTTGTCACCCACCCCGTGGTTTAACTCCCAGTGCTTTGGCTTCTGTCCCAGCTCTTCTCTAAAAGGTCACCCGTGACTTACCAGTCCTGAGATGAGAGGCCTCATGGGGGTCCTACCCCTCCTTGACTCCCTGCAACATTTGATATGACCACCCGCTCATTTGTGACTCTGGAGTCATGACACCAGGATCCTTTCTCTCCCCACATTTCTCCCATGGCTCCACTCTGCCTCCAGGGTAGGTGTCTTGCTCTTCCTTCTGAGACAGCCAGCACTTGACCCTGTGGCTTTCTCTCACACTCATCTCCCAAAGATGGCACCTGTCCTCAAGCCTTCACTTCTCATACAGGACCTCTCCCCTGAGCCCTAGATCAGCACCTCCGGGTCTGGGCTGGACTGCCGTGACCGTGAACTCTCTGGGTCTGAATCCATGCTGAGAAGCTTCCCCAGTTCTGTCATGCCCTCCTGCCATCATTGTGTGTCCTCCACTTCGTTTCCTCATGGGAGACCCTCCAACCATCGTGCCTCCTCCCTCTTCTTTGATCTCTCTCCATTCTCTCTCCAAAGCCAAAGGAAGACTTACCAGGTCTGACTGATTCTCAACTTGTAGCATCACCTGCTCAAGTCACTTTTTCTCCCACTGACACTGTCTTGGTCTGAGATCAGAGACATCTCCCATGCAGGCTAGGACATCAGCCTCCCAACTGTGGCCTTTCCTTTCCACT